CTGTTCCTTCCCACCGTATCCCCCTCTTTCTCGTAGTCTCTGGCGCCTTCCATGGCTGTTAGACCCTTCCGTTGTTAGTGACCCTTCCCCGTATCATTTCCCTTATCATTAATCGGTCTATGCTACCTCTTGTGCTAGTCTCTCCCCTTACCGCCCCACCACCGGTACCCACAATCTCCTCACCCAGCCTCTCTTCTATCTGCATCCTCCCCCAGTGTTTCAATCGTCTATGATGTTCCAGAGATTTACTTTTTCTTCTCCTCACTTCTTTCTTCTACCCCCCCCCATTCCCTCGTAACCGATTTTGTTTGTCCCCCTCTTGCTTCTCGTCACCCCTTTCCTCTCTTCTCTTAACCCTGTTTCCGATTTACCCTGCTGTGCCCCCCTCCCGCTAACTCCTCCTTTCCGTTTCTTCTCTCCTTCTTTCCGCTAGGTCGCACATTCGCCCCCAGCCACCCCTTTCCCTATCCATCCTTTACGTCTTTTTCCCCGCACTCCCCGCTAATCTTCCCCCTCTGTCCTCATCGTAACATATGCCTCTTAGTCTTCTCCTCTGTTCCGCCACTTCTCGTATCCTAAACTTTTCCTTCTGCTATCCTATATAGTTCTTTTCCTTTTTCACCTCGGTTCAGGTGCTTCATTTCCTAATGTCCTTCTAGCCCAACCGCTCCTCCCGCTCCTTTTTTTATCTTATCTTCCGATATTTCTATCTCCCGCCCTCTGCCTTTTGTTTCTACCCCTCCAAGTCCAACTCTTACTACCTCTTTCTAACCCGTCATTATTTTTACTGACTATCGCCCTATGCCCTTCCCTCGTCCTTTTTCTCCTTGCTCCCCTGTGATCTCACCGCCCCTTCCGTTCGTGCTTTTTCCTTTACGCACCTTCTCTCTTATCTCCCCTTTAACCCTCTCTCCGTTGTCCGCCTCCTACCCACCCGTCTTGACTACAACCTTTTACTCTTCTGCCTTACACCTTTTTTATTCATTTCTTCCCCCGTTGTTAACCACCTTCCAACTTCTGAGTTCCCCTCTGCGTTCCTTCCTATCTCTTCGACCTGTAACCCTCATTTTTGTCGTACCCTCTCTTTCTCTCAATACACCTATCCTACCCCCCGCCTCATGGCCCCTAGCCGCTTCCCCACCCACTTACATCTCACATTTTTTCCCCCCCCCCCCCTCTACTCACCCCCTTGCCACGCCCCTGCTATTGCGCCCTCCCACTTCGCGTTCTTTCCTCCCCCTCCTATCTTCTCTCCTCATCCCCCCTTGCCTTAACGCCATGCCATTGCTTATAAGAGCCCCTCTTCCCTCTACTCCTCTTCCCTCGCTCTCCCTTTTCGTCCCTCGGGTTTCCCCCTGTTTATCCTCTTGCTTTTTACTCCGCTCTTCCCACTGTCCTTTCCCCCTTCTCTCCTATCCCCCTTCCATTCCTCGCTTCCTCTTCATTTCATTCTCTCCGATCATCTTACTTTTGTTTTTCCTCCCGCTTTCATTTTTGAAAGTGTGAAGAGATCTATCCAGAGGTGGAGGGCAAAGAGCAAAATGGGCGTATAGTAGAAGCTGTAGGGTCCAGGTCTTGACAACTGCCAAGTTGGAGTCAAACACCTAAGAAAATAATTCTAGCAAATATGAAAGAGTGAGGAATGCAAAGTAAGTATAATGTTGCAGTGATGCCTGTAAGGGCGAATGCTGTCCTGTCTGGGTACTGCAACAGATTTGTTGCTAGGCAAATGACATGTATGAACCCTGCTTGCACATGTAGGATTCTATAGGCTGATACAATCCCCCAGTACCTAGCTTTGTACATGTGGTTGCCTAGGGGATATCCAACATGTAATAGTACGAGGAGTAGACAAGGCTAGGAGTATAATAGGCTTACAATTGCTATGTCAACAAAGGTGATAAAGGTGCATGCAACAGTGATAAGGGCTAGGGAAAACACTTCAGAGCCCCACCTGCTAGGTGGACTCCCAGATACTAAGTATGTCCCTTGAACAGGTCACCAGCTCCCAGATTGTTGGCTAATAGGGAATGTGTGTCACTGTTTCAATTTTTCCCCCCTTCTGTGCTAATGGTGACCTGGTGTATCTTTAACTTTCGTGGTCAGAAGTGTCTGAAAGTATAAATATTTAGAAGCGTTGTTTTATCCACAAAATTAATGCTGAGTGTTTTAATTTCGCGATTCCTGTGCAGTGCAACAAGATCGATGCGTTGGACACGTTCCATCGTCAGGTTTTCGAAGAGCCGACAAAGATCGGCATTATTGGGTCCGGATGCTCCGTCTCAACTGAGCCGACGGCTTCGATTTCCCATTATTACAACCTAGTACAGGTAAGGGAAGAAAGGGGGGAGAGGGAGAAAAAAGTAGAAATGTGCATGAGTATGATTGGTCTGTGGAACATGTTTTGCAGGAAGTATAACCTAGTACAGGTAAGGGAAGAAAGGGGCGAGGGAGGAAATGGAAAGAAGGAAATGGCGAAGAGCAAAGAGAGAGAGTTGGTATATAGAGGAAAGTGGTTTGTACAACGTTTGAAGGTACAGGAGAAGTCAAAAAAACGTTTCCAAAATCGTTCACCGTTCAACCGTTGAACGGCGTTCATCCGTTTCCGACGGAACGACGTTTCACCATTCATCCTTGACGTTCGTGTTCGCGGCTACGCAACCCGCTATGCGCGCTAAAAAGGCTATCGACGAATCACCACGGCGGAGGAAGTCTAGCACCGAAATCGACGGTTATTTTTGGCAACTTTGATGCCGTGGCCTTTGCCAAGGCTTAGGCTGTGGTATAAAAGCGGCGCTCGCTACTTCAGGATAGCGTACGGCCGTAACTAGAAAAAGTGGGAGTGGCACACGTGCGGATAACTGGTCTGAACGGTGACGGCCGTTTCTCTGTTTCCGTTTCTCCGTTATCGTCCGTACGTAACGCTGTTCACTGTTTTGAACGGTGAACGATTTTGGAAACGTTTTTTTGACTTCTACTGTACTAGAAAAGAGGATAAAGAGAGAGTTTGTAGAGGAAAAGGAATTAGAAATGAAATTATCATTTGAAACAACGATCAAATACTGTCGTGTATGAATCTTACTAGGTTCTCTTCTCTCACTCTATATCATCATTTCCTTCTCCTACTCTGTCTTCCTTCCGCCCTCACTCCCTCACTCACTCTCACAGGTATCATGCATTGCGTCTTCCCCGGCGTTCAGAGACAGGCAACTATTCCCGCGATATTTCCAGCTACTGCCGACCGATGCCAGCCTTGCCATCACGTACATGGGTCTCATAGAGTTTTACCAGTGGAAGAGGGTTGCCATCATCGTCCAAATGGAAAATCTATTCACTGTGGTGTGTGTTTGTTACCTGGCTGCTGAGCCACTCATACAGAGCAAGGCAGAGCACTCTGTGTTCTAGAGAGGGCTCTACCAACTGAGCTACTGAGGCAGCTCAGCTGGCTGGGCTGAGCCACTCATACAGAGCAAGGCAGAGCACTCTGTGTTCTAGAGAGGGCTCCACCAACTGAGCTACTGAGGCAGCTCGGCTGGCTGGGCTGAGCCACTCATACAGAGCAAGGCAGAGCACTCTATGTTCTAGAGAGGGCTCCACCAACTGAGCTACTGAGGCAGCTCGGCTGGCTGGGCTGAGCCACTCATACAGAGCAAGGCAGAGCACTCTATGTTCTAGAGAGGGCTCCACCAACTGAGCTACTGAGGCAGCTCAGCTGGCTGGACTGAATCAAAGCACATGTGAACAAAAAAAATATCTGTCGCTTTTTTTTCCACCTCAGCTATGCTGTGCTACGTATCATAAACACTCTCGTTAGCTCAATATCACAGGTCACAATGCTCTCTGCAGTAATTTGTGTCCTCTTACTTCACTCAGGCGATGGACGAACTGAAAGTGCTGCTAAACGACAACTCCATAGAGTACTCCGAGACAGAGCTGGTCATCGATGAAGCCGGAGTCAATGGAGGCCCGCCAAACTCTACCATTGTCAACTTAGACAGTGTTTTTGTGAGTCTGACCTCTCACCTAGACTCCCGAGTGTCGTGGGTTCGAACTCCACCCAGGGCAGCTCTTCTTTTTTTCCTTGGAAAGAAAGAGTTCTCCTGGGTGTAATTGACCAGTTTGCCTTTCTACCTCGTTACCTCTTTGCTGACACATACCGTATATATGTCCATTGGTGTGCAGTTGACCTGTTTGCTTTGCCTTTGCTTTGCTGACACATGAATTTAGCAGAATTTATGTGTACATTTCTTGTTTTACTTTCTCGAAGGATGAAAGTTCCAGAATTTTCATAATATCTACGTACGAGCCACTCGCTAGGGAAATAATTTGTGAGGTAAGCAATAATATTAAAAACTTTTCAAAGTATATACCACATATAATCCTGAATACCTCGACTATAGCTGGAGTGTGCAGTGAAAGAATAGGGTGGCCTAAATTGTTCGTACTTTTAGCAAGCAAGTGGGGTGAAAGACAGGCCAACCCACCATCCTGAATACCTTGACTATAGCTGGAGTGTGCAGTGAAAGAATAGGGTGGCCTAAATTGTTCGTACTTTTAGCAAGCAAGTGGGGGGAAGGACAGGCCAACCAACCATCCTGAATACCTTGACTATAGCTGGAGTGTGCAGTGAAAGAATAGGGTGGCCTAAATTGTTTGTACTTTTAGCAAGCAAGTGGGGGGAAGGACAGGCCAACCAACCATCCTGAATACCTTGACTATAGCTGGAGTGTGCAGTGAAAGAATAGGGTGGCCTAAATTGTTTGTACTTTTAGCAAGCAAGTGGGGGGAAGGACAGGCCAACCAACCATCCTGAATACCTTGACTATAGCTGGAGTGTGCAGTGCAACTGAATACATACACTGTATTTCTACAGGCCTACAGGAAAGGATATCGATATCCGCGACACCTCTTCTTCATGATACCGTGGTACGTCAACGGATGGTGGCGTTTCGAGGCCGACAGCTATGGCTGCACGGTGGCAGAGAGAGAAGACACGCTAGAGTACAGTATGACAGTTATGAACCTCCCGTTTGCCGCATACCTCAACATGTCGACAACCACCGACACGGGTCATGAAGGCACGGACAATGGAAGAGGAATGGTATATACGTACAAGTATAAGCAATTGTTGAACGGCAATGTTGTAGCATCAATTGCGTAAGCACACAGCAATTAGGCAAAATATTTAGCAGGGAAAACATTGCACAAGCACAACAATTAGGCATAAAATGTAGCAGGAATTGTGCAAGTATATAGAAGGCAAATGTAGAAAGAAGCGCAAAGCTTTGAAGAAATTGCGTGTTGTTCACTTTGTGATTATCGTCCAGCCTCAAAGTCCAGCCTATAGACACCCAGCCACCTGGTAAATTTGTTTAACTCTTCTGATTCTTAATTCTGCAGACGGTTAGAGAATATTTTGATAAGGTGGAGGAATACCTCGAGAGACCACCGCTCAATGTGACACTGTACGATGATGTCGCCCCAGTTTGCTATGACGCAATGTGGACACTGGCACTTGCGCTGAATAACACCATCACAGGTTATTGTTGGAGAGAAGGAGAAGAGAGAGGGGAGTGAGAGAAGAGAGGGGGGAGGGGAGTGAGAGAAGAGAGGGGGGAGGGGAGTGAGAGAGAAGAGAGGGGGGAGAGGAGTGAGAGAGAAGAGAGGGGGGAGGAGTGATGGAGAGAAGAGAGAGAAAGATGGGGGAGCATGGTAGAACAATATGTAGCAGAAAGATTTCAAGAAAAGCGCTTTAACTATATACAGAGATTAAACAATACTATAATAATGAAGCATACATATATATTATTATTCTGAAAGAGGCTTATTATAACGGATATATATCTTTATTTCGCAGAATTTGAAACTAACATCTCTCTGAGTGACCTGGCCTACGAGGCAGGAAACATGCCGAATCGCAACGAAACATTCAGGATGGAGAATTTCACCTATCAAAATGACGTAGTCATGGAGACCATGTTCAAACATCTCGAGGATACGGATTTCTTGGGAGTTTCTGTAAGTATTCAGAGCAAGACAGAGCACTCTGTGTTCTAGAGAGGGCTCTACCAACTGAGCTACTGAGGCAGCTCAGCTGGCTGGGCTGAATCACTCATACAGAGCAAGGCAGAGCACTCTGTGTTCTAGAGAGGGCTCTACCAACTGAGCTACTGAGGCAGCTCAGCTGACTGGGCTGAATCACTCATACAGAGCAAGGCAGAGCACTCTGTGTTCTAGAGAGGGCTCTACCAACTGAGCCACTAGGGCAGTTGTTAGCATCACTTTCAATGTAGGGTGACGTGACTTTCAACGAGGTTGGAATTCGTAGAGTAACACAATATCTCATCCTACAATTCAGGAAAAATTCCTCCAAAAGTAAGTTTGAATATATATAGGTTTCCCCAGAGGGTAGTGTTAGTGTCTCCAGATTTCCTTATTAGGTGTGAGTGAGATATACGTGATTGTGCACAACACCCCTGCAATGAGGACACCCCTCTTTTAATTCTTTTAATCACGTTTTTCTTTCCCTGAGAAGAATTTAACCCCTGAACTAAGGACACCTTACTACTTTGGACTGTCCCATTGGTGTACTTGTCATACAATTCTGTCCCTGGGTGTAGTTGACTTTTTGCCTTGCCTTGCCTTTCTACCTTGCTACCAAGTTGTTGAGACATGCGCTTAAAACATTCCCTATCTGCATAATACAATAATAATTATGTAAGCGCTTCCTCACGTTTAACCCTTTTCTCTCTGAATATTTGCTGGCAGGGATAGTGAATGAGGAGATAGGTGTGTGGAGTACTAACGCAAGTCTGGTCTACACAAAGAACAGCACCGAGGAAACTACCTGGCCCTGTGAGTGGTCTAAATATAGTACAGCTTACATCGTCTGTATAAATAGTACAACTTACAATTGTCTGTATAAATAGTACAGCTTACATCGGCTGTATAAATAGTACAGCTTATATACAATCGTCTGTATAAATGTAGTATAGCTTACACTGTTGTAATCATTTTTTTAAGTGATATTAAATGCATGCGTTCTCTCGCCAAAAATATTACGTACTGTATCTCTCTCTTCTCTCCTTTTCTTCTTTCTTGCCTTCGATGCCCCCCCCTCTCTTCCTCCATCACAGTTGGCATACCATACGACGGTGTGAGTGTGGTCATAGTAATAAACACAGTCCACGCAAGTCTCACGTCCATAATGATCATCTTCTCGACTGTCGGAATCCTGTTCTCCGTCGCCTGTCTCGTCTTCAACTTCTACTTCAGAAACCAGACGTGAGGCAGTTGCTTCTTTATTTAAAACCCTTTGGACGCCATGGGGATCTGCTTAAATAAGCAGATATTGATGTATAAATAGTGCCTGGTATTACAACCCCTATATAAATTCTTATGGACTTATGGAGGCTCTGGACACATTAATGTGTCGGTGGCTGGTTAAGTATTAACGACATCACGAAATGTGCTATATACCGTAAATCAACCCAGTTGTAAATATACAGTGGAAACTCCTTCATGTAAATGACTGCTGTGAATAATATAGAAACTGATGCAATGGAACCACTGAGTAAGGGACACTTTTTGGGACATTGAAAGTGTCTTTTATTCCTCTCCTCTCTCCCTCCTCTCTCCCTCCTCTCTCCCTCTCCCTCCTCTTCTCACGGCAGACTTATTCGTCTATCAAGCCCAAACCTCAACTACCTAATCGGCTCGGGGGCAATCCTTCTCTACCTCGCCATTATTGTCACCGTTCTACCGGCCGATACGGCCGTCTTTTCAAGCGTTGTTTGCAATCTTCGAGTGTGGTTGACTGGCTTCGGATATTCGCTCTGTTACGGAACGATTCTCGTGAAAATGTGGAGAGTTTATTACATATTCAGTAACCCCTCGACACTTAAGAAAGCGGTTAGTTCACCTATACTCATGCTGAAGTAGCTCAGTGAGACCTTTTGTTTCTCGTAAAACGGTTCTTTCAACCCTGAAAAGGGGGCATCTGACTATTATGAACACTTCCTTTATTAACTCTTTGCTTTCTTCTTCCCACGCCTGAAATATGGACACCTCATTAACCATGACTGTGTTAACCCCTTTGGAACCCCTTGGCCCGTGGTTTGCTAGGGGTTAATAACATATACTTTATACTTTCTTCCCCTCATCTCTCCCCCTCACACATTAGAATCTTCACGACTGGATGCTGGCCATAATGGTCCTGTGTTTCGTGATCCTCGACCTCGTCATGTTGGTCATCTTCTCGCTCGTCGAAGGACTCCGAGGAAATCTGAGAGCTGAGAGGGTGCTAGACAAAGAGGCCTCTTCAACTACTACTGGGGTAAATATTTTTCATGGTGTCAAAAACATTTTGGTATAGTGGTTCAAATTTTTAAGTGGGGTAAGTTTTTTACCAAGTGTTCATAGATGAGTTTGAAGAGCTGGACCAAGAAGCAAATATATACGTACGTAGTACTGGGGTGGGTGGCAAAAAATATGCCCGGTTGTCAATTTGAGAGGCTAAAAATTTGAGAGTGAGGATGAATTAACCTCTTGTAAATAGTTGCTCATACGCACATTGTTGTTGTTGATGATGTTACATCTTTTTGATGTCTGCATTTCGCAACAGGAACAAGGACGCATCAAAGAGTTTTATGTGTACGTCTGTGATTCCTTGGCCTGGGACATCTTTCTTGGAATCTTCTATGGTTACAAAGCATTCTTGCAGGTATGTACGTATATTCCAGCCAGCTGAGCTGCCTCAGTAGCTCAGTTGGTAGAGCCCTCTCTAGAACACAGAGTGCTCTGCCTTGCTCTGTATGAGTGATTCAGCCCAGCCAGCTGAGCTGCCTCAGTAGCTCAGTTGGTAGAGCCCTCTCTAGAACACAGAGTGCTCTGCCTTGCTCTGTATGCGTGATTCAGCCCAGCCAGCTGAGCTGCCTCAGTAGCTCAGTTGGTAGAGCCCTCTCTAGAACACAGAGTGCTCTGCCTTGCTCTGTATGAGTGATTCGGCCCAGCCAGCTGAGCTGCCTCAGTAGCTCAGTTGGTAGAGCCCTCTCTAGAACACAGAGTGCTCTGCCTTGCTCTGTATGAGTGATTCAGCCTAGCCAGCTGAGCTGCCTCAGTAGCTCAGTTGGTAGAGCCCTCTCTAGAACACAGAGTGCTCTGCCTTGCTCTGTATGAGCGATTCGGCCCAGCCAGCTGAGCTCCTACCACCATTCTTCCTCTTTTCTCCCAGATTTGTGGACTTTTTCTGGCGTTTGCCACCCGTAAAGTTAAGGTGAAGGGACTGGACGATGCCAAATGGATCGCTGGCACTATTTACATCACAAGCATAGTTCTTGCCATCACTATACTGGCACTGTACACACTGAATGACTTTGTCAACCGTCACACTGCAGTCTTTACTGGTGGACTGTTGATTGGCACCACCTTCATCATGGCATTTGTCTTCGCTTCAAAGGTATAAAGTACACGCATGAACACTGTTGCCATGCAACTCTTTTGTACAAGACAAATTTGCATGCAACTCCAAATGTATGAGTATGATAGACCATGCAAGACGAGGGAAATAAGAACGAAAAAAAGGGGAGAAAGAAAGGAAAGGGGAGAAAGAAGAGAAAGGAGAGAACCAAGGCGAGAAGAAAAAGGGGAGCAAGAAAAAGAAATTTGATACATCCTAGGAACTAATATCCCTCCCTCCCTTCTATCATCCACATTCTCCTCCCTCTCCCTTTTCTCCCTCCCTCTCCATTTCCCTCCCCCCTCCCTTCTCTCCCTCCCTCCCCATATACAGATGTATGCACTGTATAAAGACCCTGAGGGGAAGAGTGTTTTTGACAGGACTAGACCATCTGATCGTCCACAAGCTAGCAATCCTTCTGATGGTGTTGAGCGAGTGGTCGGATAGGAGGAGATAGCTATCGAATGGAGGAGAAGGTGTACTATATATAACCCTTTAAACTAGTCTCCTGTTTACGTTAACCCTTTAAATATCTGCTTTAACCCATTGAGTACAGAAAAACAAACCTTGTACGTATGTATCTTCCTTAACCCTTTGACTTCAAACTATTTATGAGCTCGTATTTTCAATACCTACACTTTCAATGTTTTTTTTCTTTTTCCGTTTGATCTTTGGTAAATTTCGCAATGTTTTTAGCAATGGCAATGTTTTTTCAACATAGTATATACTCTCTTAATGCATGGACTGTATCATGTCTGTGTTTCCTTTTAACTTTGTGCAGGAAAAGATGTAGTTAAAAACAAGATGAAAGGAGACATGGCTGAATGTTGAATGTGATGTATCACATTTTTACACTTTTGAACTTTTAAAAATAATGTAAGGCATCATCACTGACTGAGTCCATGTTTGTATTGTACATTACATCACCAGTTCATGCAATCGAAAAGGGTCGGAATTTGGCCATGTGCTGCTTACACATACACCTATCCATAAGTTTTAAATTCTCTGCTGCTTTATCCATGTTCACGCACAGTATAGTAGGCGCAGAGACGTAATGAGTTTTCAGCCGGCCACCAGTCAGTGCAGTCTTCACGTGCGTAAGATATTGCGCATGCGCAGCCCGACCATAAATAGCGATAATGAGGGCGTGGTTTTGGGAAGTCGCGTGGCTCTGAAGAAGAAGAAACGGCCAAAGCTCGATCCCAGCAATCCCAATCCATGGATGGCTTGGCGTTCAAAGAGCGTGAAAGAGGTATGTACACCCGCGGCCACTCAGCTCTACGATTGACGGTTGCCCGGTAAAAATATTAGGTAGCTAGCTATATACCATACTTTTTTTATTGGGTGCAGGTCATTGTGTATGCCTCTCTCTCGAATAACGTTTGGACTAACCTGGCCTTCGAGGACTGGTAAGTCTTCCGTTTGCAGTCACACCCAATCCTTCAGTAACCTGTACAGTCACATAATGCTGGTATAATGTAGTGGGTGAAGGGTTAATGATGAAATGGCCCTGTTCCATGCAGGGTGTTCTGGAACGTGGACCTGTCCTACAGACGTATACTCTTTCTATGGAGGAACCTTCCATGTGTATGTCGTCCCATTTAGAGCTGGGTAATTTAAATCGCGCAATCTGATTGGTATATAGTTTCCTGGACTCGGCATCTAACCTATATGTAGTGGCAATCAGATATTTTATATATATATACGCAAAAAGTGGCCTCTTATTCAAATTTTCTCATTATTTCAGGTTGTCATTGGAAGGCACCAGGTAAAAAATCATTCCGATATTAAAGTCAGACATGCGGGCTAAAGTAAGAAATGTTACAGAACGAAACAATAGGGCCCGGTGCAAGAATGCAATGAAGCTTCTGTTTTTTTTTAGTATAACAGTTACTAAATTTAGCCCTTATATGCTGCCTTTAATTTTAAAAAAACTATTCATATTAAAACCGGACTGTACTGCAGAATCCTTGGCAAGAGTGCAACGTTCCGAAACTACGCGAGAGTGGGGTCCCGGTGGTGAGACGGAGGTCTGGAGGAGGGACTGTCTACCACGCAAGTCTTTTCCCTTCTATCATAATAGTAGTATAATTTATTATAATTATATCTGTCAACATTAGACAGGCCAGAACGTACAAGTAAAGTCATTAACTAGCCGCAGAAAAGTTACATTAAAGGGAATTTGGCAGTATAAATTTAGAAAAGATAATAAGGCACAGTGAAAGAATGCAATTTTCAGTAGCATTTCTTAATTTAGCCATTATTATACCGGCACATTCCCTTTAATTTACCGATTAAGTTAATGTAGTACACAGCAAACCACAGTACACTCTTATACTACGAAAGTATAATTATATTTTTTATGAAAATGTGAGGACCAAAGTCAAAAAGGTGTTGTTTATGACGCTTGTTGCTAGCATGTCTTGACAACCCTTTAATAAAGCAATCACTGTATGATTACACATACACTTGATTATACGCAGTGGCCTTAACGTAACATCTGATCAACCCTTTAGGATCTGGGAAACATAAATGTGACTTTATTCTCCCATCGAAACGACTACGATCGTCGGCAAAACTTGGAGCTAGTGGCGTCCGCTCTGAACAGAAGGTGGAACACTTCTCTCGGGGTTAACGAGAGAAATGACATCATCTGTAGAGATAGATGGAAGGTTTGTTGCTATGACAGAGAAGAGGGAAGAAGAATGGCGTGGTATTAATTTGTAGAGAGGGAAAGTTACTTGCTGGTTAGTGAAGTATCCTGATTAGTGAGGTGCACCAGAGGTGTCCTCATTAGTGAGGTGCACCAGAGGTGTCCTCATTAGTGAGGTGCACCAGAGGTGTCCTCATTAGTGAGGGGCACCAGAGGTGTCCTCATTAGTGAGGTGCACCAGAGGTGTCCTCATTAGTGAGGTGCACCAGAGGTGTCCTCATTAGTGAGGTGCACCAGAGGTGTCCTCATTAGTGAGGGGCCCCAGAGGTGTCCTCATTAGTGAGGTGCACCAGAGGTGTCCTCATTAGTGAGGTGCACCAGAGGTGTCCTCATTAGTGAGGTGCACCAGAGGTGTCCTCATTAGTGAGGGTGCACCAGAGGTGTCCTCATTAGTGAGGTGCACCAGAGGTGTTCTCATTAGTGAGGTGTATATTTCAAGAGGAAGAGAAAGAACCAGCTTTCCTTGCATTAGGTTTCTGGTACATCTTCAAAATTGGGGAAGGATTCGACTTATCACCATTTCACTCTGCTACTGAATACAGAAATTAAAAACCTGAAGAAATCACTTCGCCCCCATCCTGAGGTATCTGGTGGGTCAATTAGAAAATAGGATGGAATAAACTTTTTGTATTTTTAGCAAGAAAGTGGGGGGAAGGACAGGCCAACCAACCATCCTGAATACCTTGACTATAGCTGGAGTGTGCAGTGAAAGAATAGGATGGCCTAAATTGTTTGTACTTTTAGCAAGCAAGTGGGGGGAAGGACAGGCCAACCAACCACCCTGAATACCTAGACTATAGCTGGAGTGTGCAGTGAAAGAATAGGGTGGCCTTAATTGTTCGTACTTTTAGCAAGAAAGTGGGGGGAAGGACAGGCCTACCAACCATCCTGAATACCTTGACTATTATAGCTGGAGTGTGCAGTACAAATGAGTGATTATGGTGGCCTTTAGCTAGCAAGCAAGGGGGGAAGGGCAGTATGATTAACTTCTTAAATCAGGACACCTCATTTTTTCATACATAGCTAGGTGTCCTCAGTTTATCCTCTTCTCACTTCTCACAGCTGTTGCTGAAGGAATCGACGGCTACAGCTAGCAGGACTTCGGAAGTCATTAACCTCTGCTCTCTCTACCCAATGCTCAACTCTGAGGGGGTGTGTCGCGCCATTGCTGAAGACTTCTATGACGCTCATGAAGTCTCAGACAGTAGAGAAGTAATATAATTATTCCGTCAACTTTGACAAATAATTTTTTTGGAATGTTTTGTACAGTGGTCACCAATAGCTGAAGAATTGGTGGTAGCTACTTGGGGCAGTGAGGCTAATTCTCTCTTCTCAACTTTTGAAGTATAGCAGTATACTGCCTATTAGGGACACCTGAGGGAGGGACACTTGGTTCTGCCCCGTACTATATTTCATCTGAATAAGGCACAGTCCTTAGCTAACGAAAACACTTGATGTCGCCATTATTCTGGATTCACTCACTGTATAATAGATGTGTGTGTGTAGGGCATGAATTATAATTGGCCTCAGATCGTACGAGTTGATCCAACATCGGAAGAAAATTTACCTGGCATTACCAGTCTCACTGAGGAACTCAAGGTAAATTTGCTGAGTACCCTTGCATTCTATAGAGAGGGCTCTACCAACTGAGCTACTGGGCCGAATCACTCATACAGAGCAAGGCAGGGCACTCTGTGTTCTAGTAGCTACCAACTGAGCTATGTGCTTAACTCGTGACCCCAAAGTTCACTCTCATGCAGAAATGGGAATGGAATTTCGGAAAGACACCCAAATTTCACCTCACTGCCATGAGACATTTCAAATTTGGAAGATTAGTGAGTTTAATTTTAGTGACGACGGTCATAATAATAAAAAAAACTTTTTAGGCTGTGGAAATGAAAGTGAATAAAGGGAGGATTGAGAACTGTTGTTTTCTACTTGATGGCACTACTGAGAAGCTGTTTGAGCTCCAGAGTTCTATCATTGGTAAGAATCTCGATCAGAACACTCCTTAATTAAAGGGAATGTGGCAGTAGATAAGGGCTATATATATTTAGAACTGTTATATATATACTAAAGATATAAGTAAACAATAGGGCATTCCCTTTAATGAAGAAATGAAAAGCACTAAAGTGCAAACCCTCGGCGAACTGCGCATGCGCAGTACCACTAATTGATGGGCTGGGCCTTTTATTTCTCTACTCGTGGTATCCCGCAAGTAGCTCGCGGAGAGTCTGACACGGGCTAGCTACAGTAGTAGATAGCATGCGGGAGTTGATACATGCCCTTCATTGTGACTTCTTGTGCCTTCAAGATACACAAAGCGAGCGGACACGGGCCTGTGTTAATTTGCATATTAGCTCCTTGACTTGCTTTTCACGCCATAACTTTCGAACGCAGTATTTTTACGAAAATTGTTTATGATGTCATGCTTTGCAGGTTCTAGGTTGGGTAGAGGTGACATGAAACAACAGATCTCAGAATCTCAGGAATTTGGTTCAAATTCTGTGGACATTGTTCAGTGGCTGGACTCACTGTTATAGCTCTCTATTGTAGCTATCATGTTGCTGTTTCGTAGTATTGTTTATGGTTGTATAATTATAGTTCCGCTATGAAAGAGGACATGCTTGATGCAGAGCACTCTGTGTTCTAGAGAGGGCTCTACCAACTGAGCTACTGAGGCAGCTCAGCTGAATCACTCATACAGAGCAAGGCAGAGCACTCTGTGTTCTAGAGAGGGCTTTACCAACTGAGCTACTGAGGCAGCTCAGCTGGCTGGGCTGAATCACTCATACAGAGCAAGGCAGAGCACTCTGTGTTCTAGAGAGGGCTCTACCAACTGAGCTACTGGGGCAGCTCAGCTGGCTGGGCTGAATCACTTCACAATCACGTTACACTAATGAGCGAACAGACACTGAATTCTCAAAATCATGAGATAATGAATGATCAATGTGATGGGCATTCCTATATAGCAGCATGTGTATGCCGCCTTTATTGTAGCGTTCATGTCTCGGCTCTTCGTTCCGTCGTGGTCTCATCGTCGGCTGCGGTGTCGCTTTCTTTAGGTGTCGGGGAGGGAGGTCCCGGTCCCGTATACAGATTCGCCAGACCCCAGCTCTGCAAAATTCCCCCGGCGTCGTCTTCATCCACGTCTTCTTCGCTTTCGAGTAGCGTCAGGTAGGCCTTCTTGGAGTCGCGAAGATTGACTGGCACCGAGAAGCGAAGATCGGCGGGGAAAACGATGTCTTTTATTTGCTCCTCTTCGAAGACGCTCAGCTGTAACGGCTCGCCGGAGACGCGAAGTTGGGGCAGGACGGATCCATGGTACGAGCTGTCGGCGATGGCCGAAGACAGGACGTTCGTTTGGGAAAACAGGAGGGCGAGGTTTCTTTCCATGGCTGGCTCGTGTGTGAAAAGGAGATGGGAAAAAATCACAAAATGTGCGAGAGGACTAGCTAGCTAGCGGACGCAAAGATCCGATGAACCTGTCCGAAGTAGAGAAGAGCGCAAGAGACGATCAACCGATCAGGAGAAGGCAAAGCAGCAACTGGCGTTAGGTGTAGGAGGCAGCGGCGTTCATTTTTAGCTTGTACACGGAGGCTGCTTACGCGCGGTTGTGCGTGCATCTGGTTGCACGCGTCGACCCGGTGGAGCTGGGCGCGTGCACACGCGTGCATGCGCGCACAGCCCTGCCTGCGACGACAGACTCCTTGCTTGCATGCCGAGGGAGGCCGATCATGAAAAATCAGAGGGAGGGGGGTCTCCGTAAAAGGCAAGGCGGCTGGCCCCCCCGCGCGTTGCGACTTGGCTCCGGCCGGCCGGTTACGTCACATCGACCGCGCGCTCGATCGCTGCATGCATGCATGGACCGGCCGGGTATGCAGGGTATGCAGTGCATGCAGTGTGCTCGCGTCAGGCAGGATAACGCGCTTCTCTATTACACGCTCCCTGCTGCTAGCTAGCTAGCTAGGATGGCTCTCATGCAGTCATTGTGTGCTCGCTCCCGCTATGTATGGCTTGGAATACAAGGCTCCGGGTTTTGCACAAAACAAAGGAACGTGTATATAAGTCCATCAGGGTAGGGCCTTGGCCTTGGCATCAGGTAGAAATGCCATGATAGCAGCCGGAGAGGCATGAGAAATAAGACGGCAAAAGAAACTGTAGAAATTCTTTCGAGCTTACGAACCGCCCCCGCGACTAGCTGAGGAAGAAACTGCAGCGCTGCAAATTAACTCGCACCGGCAAAATGACAGTGTGCGCTTTGCGCATGCGCATTATTATCACGTGACTTTGCACGTGCGCATGTAACTTTTGGGTGTTGTTTTGCGCCTTGCCGCCCGCTCTTTTGTCTCGCCTTCCCTGGAAAAGACCGTAAGTTTTTTTGGGTGCATAAATGGGCAAGAACAAGCCCTTGACAGGAAGAAAGAAGACACTTCAGTTGAGTGGCGCAAGAAAGTTGGAATCAGGTGAAATAGATTGCTTGTGTCTCTCGTCACCCCTCTCTCCTGGTGCGGCTTAGTCACGTGAATTTTGACCTTTAACCCCTACACCCCAGGTTCCCCACTGAGTGGAAGGGGCATTTACACCCAAACTGCTACTAACCCTGCCTCAGGTACGGCTATACTGTGAAACCTCTGAATTGGGGACTATCAAAAGTGTCCTTTATTTCCTACACATTACTGTATGTACAACATACAATGTTTTACATGAGGCAAAGTGTCTTCTATCGGGAGGTGTCCTTTATGGGTTTCACTGTACTTATATAATATTGCTGTTCTTGTGCATCGTACACTTACAGTATATAAACATGTGGACACATGTTATATATACATGTCTGTTTATTTAATTGATCGTTACTTTGGTGGTTTGTCTGCACATGGCAGTAATTGGAGTAGTGTTCACCTGTATATACCCTAGGTCTGTTCTTGCATTACGTCTCCTTCCTTCTCTCCCTTGCTTCCCCCTCCTCCCCTCCTCCCACATTTATCTATCTCCCCTCCTCTCTTCCTCCCAAACTCTTCGCAAGCAGACCCTGAAATCTCCACGGAGAGCCCTAGTTCCCAACCAGGTATATAAAAGACAAAAACAACCAGGGAGGCATACGCAGGATGCCGTGCCTGGTGTTGTACAATACGAGTTGAAAAACGCATGATTTTATTAATGCTCCTTTCTTTCCAGTCGTTGTTATGGCCACTCTTCAGCAGCTTGCTGACATGCGTGTATGTGTTTATACCGTAGGTCTGGTTGCCACGGTAACCGACACCCTCCCCGGGTGTTTCTATTTAGTGCACGCCACCTCTCATCGTGCCTTGTTTTCTCTCTTTCTCTCTCGTTTCTCTGCTTCAGAAGTGCAGGAGACGGTCGAACAGGAAGAAGAAAAAGGAAAACTCGCTGATTTTATGAAAGTGGGTATATACCTCAACCATCAGTTTGTGTTACATGTGTAGTTTGTCCCTCTATTTTGCCATCCATTTTTCTTAACTGTACGTGTCTCTCTTCTCTTCCTCCTTCTCTTCCCCCCACCCACTATTCTGTATGTACATGTACGTATGTAGGCAATCCACACGCTGGGAAGCAGAGAAGATATCGAACCACCTAATGAAATTGGAGAAGACAAGGAGAGTGTTAATATGGCTGAGCAAGAACCTACTCTGCAATCTGGAGGTACTGTATTTAGCCCTCTCTAGAACACAGTGCTCTGCCTTGCTCTGTATGAGTGATTCGGCCCAGCCAGCTGAGCTGCCTCAGTAGCTCAGTTGGTAGAGCCCTCTCTAGAACACAGAGTGCTCTGCCTTGCTCTGTATGAGTGATTCAGCCCAGCCAGCTGAGCTGCCTCAGTAGCTCAGTTGGTAGAGCCCTCTCTAGAACACAGAGTGCTCTGCCTTGCTCTGTATGAGTGATTCAGCCCAGCCAGCTGAGCTGCCTCAGTTGGTAGAGCCCTCTCTAGAACGCAGAGTGCTCTGCCTTGCTCTGTATGAGTGATTCAGCCCAGCCAGCTGAGCTGCCTCAGTTGGTAGAGCCCTCTCTAGAACACAGAGTGCACAGTTTGCTACTATGTTATCACAGCTCCCTCTGTTGGTGAAGTGCCAACTTCATTCTGGCACCAAGTGATGGACTCTAACAGCAACCATCCATACTACTGGAGCCCCGTGACTAACGAAGTATCTTGGACATTACCTGATGGAGGGGTAAGTGT